ACAGGAGCATAAGTAGCAAAAGCTTCTCTAACAGCACAAACATGGCGAGTGGCTCCAAAATCAATCCACCACTCTTTAGGATTGCCCACCAAGTTGCATTCGAAAAGCATGGCACATAAGTCATCAACATCATCATGCTTTTCAACCATGTTTGCTTGACCCTTCTTCTTGTCTTTCTTCGGAGCATGACACTCCGTAGATTTGTGTCCGATTTTTCCACAGTTGTAGCAGTTTCCACTGAACCGCTTCTTCCTTGGGTTGTATTTCGGTCCAGAAGCCTTCTTCCTCTTTTTGTTCTCTTCAAGAATATTTGCTCCCATTATTGTTGAGTTCCCACGGCCTCTCTATTCAACAGCTTTGTTGTCCTCTTCGATTCTCAACCGAACAATGAGATCTTCAAGGGACATCTCCTTGCGTTTGTGTTTTAAGTAGTTTTTGAAGTCCTTCCACAAAGGAGGCAACTTCTCAATCATTGCTGCTACTTGGAATGCTTCATTGATAACAAGACCTTCAATGAAATTTCTGTTAGTAAAAATACTAAGATTACTACTTTCAACATCAATATTAATTTGATTTATACCTTCAGCAAGGAGATCGTGAATAATCACTTGCAATTTCTGGACTTGGGTAATAACAGACTTGCTATCTACCATTTTGTAGTCCAAAAACTTTGCAGCAACAAACTTTTTCAACCCGGCATCTTCGGTTTTGTATTTCTTTTCAAGCGCAGTCAACAGTTCCTTTGACGTTTCCACGCCACTGTAGACATTATACAGAGCATCCTCCAGTCCGCTTAGAATATAATTCTTGCACAAAAAATCTGAATGCTTCCACGCCTCAGTTTCTGGAGTTTCATCGGACAACACAGGAACATCTTCCTTGATGAACTTCTGGAGACTTAGTGTAGTCAAATAGAAGAACATCTTTTGCTGCCAGCGCTTGAAATTAATCCCGAAAAATTTTCTGGGTTTCTCCGCCGGTGCCAATGTTGCCGGTGTCGTTCGGCTTGTTGAGGCATTGGCAGTCACCATTGGAACAGCTTGGTTCTCATTCTCATTAGTCATTTCTATAAAAGAATGACACAAACGTTAAAATCACGTAGATTCTAATAGAGTACAAAACCACACAGGTTTTACTCTCCAGAAACAGTAAGTACAAATACAGAGAATATTTAAATTCCTTAAGCTTGTTAGTATACTGTATTTGTAAAATAATTCTGGAAATATAAATAAATATAAACAGAAATGACAGAAAACCAATTCGAGCCCACTGAATTCACAGTGTTTCCTTAAGGAACTTAATCCCCTCCTAGTACCCAAGGTTATGAATTATTTCCTCCCGGGATAGAACGAATTACACACTGGTATAGTGGTACTTCAAACCCCAGTGTTTCAGCGAACACAAAGTTCAGTAGCAAATCACACTTACTATTGCTTTCTTTGAAGTTAAAAGTTGGGCAGAATAGTGTTGTATTTATAGCCAAAAGTTGGGCTGAAATCTGAAGAGGTGCCACTCTTCAGAATGGCTGTTTCTGCAAAACGGCCACAGCATAAATGAGGATTAGATTTAATATTAATATTCTGTTATTAAAATAAATATTTAATAACATTTCTGTTAATATTTTACTATTAACAAATAAATTTGGTCCAAAAAGTTAATCAATCAATCATTTGACCAAATCCGAAGCCGAAGCCGAGCGGCGACGACGACGGCGCGAGACTTGCTTTCTTCTCAACTCTTTAAGAGTTAGAAGAAGAGCAATTGCTTATATACCCATAAAAAACTTCTTCCTCTTCCAATATGGGGACAATGCCCATTTACCAAGGGGGGTAACTTAAAATTTCACTCAAAAATTTCATTTCCCTCCATTTCCCATTCATCCTCTTTTAAGTATTTAATATATTAATTAAATACATTAAAAACCCCAACAATATATACTAAAGGGGTAACAGGTGCTAAAAATATATACTATACTAATAAAGTTGAAAATGGGGACACGGGGGGAGGGGTGGGGGGGGCGTTAACTCAATAGAGTCTACATGTATAGTGCCCTCATATACATAGAGCTAGCCTATCTGAAAAGGGGAAGACGTAGTAAATTTTTGGGAAACAGAATTACCAATATTACCTTTCAAATGCTAAAATTGTCGAGTTGCGTGTGATGTGTGAAAAATTCTTAATTTTGCTGCAGAATTTCCTTGGAAGGGAGGCCCAAGCAAGTGGAGTATCATTTATCATTAGGGTATCATTGTGTTTTCTTGACACGACCATAAGGAAGCTACACATTCCCTGCATGTAGGCTTCAGTGGCGAAGTTAGAAATTTTTTTGAGGGTGTTCAAATTTAAAAAAAGTGAAAAAAATTTACGACAAAGGGTGTTCAATATGTGTTATATACCTCTAAAACGTAATATTTTACCTACGTACGCAGTACAATTTTTCGACGAAGGGTGGTCAGTTCACCACCCTTACAAGCATGTGGCTTCGCCACTGGTAGGCTTAGGTTTGCATTAATCACCTTGAGGATTTATGAGAATTATAAAGAAGGGAATCTGTTGCAAATTGGAACTCAAATTTAGAGTTTGGGGTACAACTTTCCTTCTTCGTTTTTTCCCGGATTGTCAAATAAAAATATTGACATGGCTTCATATACATCAATTGATGTGGTTGGCTTGCACTTCATGCCTTCTGTGCTTTGATGCGATGATTGGATACATCATATATGTTTATTAGTGTTTGACCAAAAAATGTAGATCTTTGATTAAACTAATTGAATGGGTTAAACCTAGTTAATAATAATAACTTCAGATCTATAATCGATTAATATGACTGACGTAGAGTAGCGCCAGAAGAAGATTAAATACAACGTGTATTTAACGTTTCAAGACCATTAATGAGGAGGGAATGCCAAGAAATAAATAACAATAAATGATATTAAAGTATTAAGGAGAATAATTAACCCAATATTGAATGAGATGGATGACTCCTCCTCTTGATAATGATGGATGAAAGAAAAATACTAGAATATTGGGATCCTTCTCGGATCTGATAGAAAAGGTATGGAATAATAGACAATCGTCTCTTTAGAAAGGTAATGTATGTATTCTACCTAGAGAGAAAGTATGCTTATGAAGAATGTTCTTATTAGAGAATATTACATGCCTTTCCTCTTATTTCTCTTTTTATTTATATGGGACAGACCCCCAATTAACCCTAAAAGTACAAGGACAGAAAGATCATATTACTAAACTAGTCGTTACTGTCGTTTCGAATACTTGACCTCGACCATGATCGACTCCTCGGCAGTGAATCCTATTGATTAATTACTAGTCGACCTCGGCCAAATCACTTTTGATAATTCCATTTCGTATCAAAATATTCCTTAAGCATATTTTGACCCATACAATTAGTCCTAGTGGTTAATTCGGGAGGTCCATTGGTAGGTTTAGTGATTTCACCGCGGGAACTCATAATATGATTATATATGATGAATGTGTAATGTTATTGATGGCTAAATACCTCTTTTACCTGCAATGATTTATTGAGATTATATGTGGTGCATTACTTATTTTTCATGTAAATATTTTAAAAACTTGCTCCGAGGGGTATGGCATGGGAGCGGATCGATGATTTTACTGAACTTTTGCTTACCAAATCAGTTACTATTCGATGCAGATTCATCTGCTAGTAACAGTTGATAGAAAAATTAAAGATAAGTAACAGAAAATGAGAGGCTTTGAGGCGTGAAAGATCACTATCTTTCAAGAGTTATTGCCTGTATATACTTTAGGTTACAAGCAATTCTCTATCAGGATACAACAAAGCCTGAAACATACGTGCAGATTTAATTCTCTACTACTGGGATGTCTTCCGTATTTATAGATAAGAAAAGGAGACTTTTCTGAGCACCCACACTATTCTTGTTGTTTGTCTTAGTCCCGGGCCTTAGATTATGATTACTGTTATTGCATGTCATTCATTTTTCGATTTTTATGTTTTTGTTACTATTACGATTTCTACTGGAGTTACTAATGAATTCTCTCCTCTTGTTTTTTCTTACTTTATTTTCGACTTTCTGAGCCGAGGGTCTATCGGAAACAGCCTCCCTGCCCCGAGGGGCAGGGGTAAGGTCTGCGTACACATTACCCTCCCCAGACCCCACTATATGGGATTTTACTGGGTAGTTGTTGTTGTTGTTTTGTTTAACTTATACGGATTGAGCAAACTGGTGTCATTCACCCTCGTGAGAGATTCCATTTTCCATCTCCCTCTGATTATTCTTTTCCTGGAGGTCGTTGAGACTGTTTCCGGGTTAATATTAAATTATGTCAACTGATAAGTTCTTTGGCATTGAGCATCAGTGCCCCGTACTGGGAATTGAAAGTGCATTATTTCTTGCTAAATGTGAAGGGGAATAATCTGTTTCCTGGACAGAGATCCACACAACTTTGTTCTAAATCAAATGTCCCTCTTCAATGATCGAAATAAATAAATAAATAAAATTTCCCCTCGATCTTTTAAAAGAATAAGAGATGTGGATAAGTGTCAGTATCTTTGGCCTTTAATTATTCTGTTACTACCTTCCTTGCCATAATCTATATAAAGATCTGATGTCTCACTGTTAGGAAAAAAAAGCTCCTTATCCTTGTTTTTGCCTACACGAAATGTTGACCTTTCAATTAGAGGAAAAATGACAAATCCTGGCTGGACAGCATAATAACCAAAGAGTCTTATGTGTCAACTATTTTGCGTACTATTGATTTAACTTATTTTTCACTTTTAATTTATTTGGTATCGATGATGATATGAGTTTAACTTAAATGAAGATGGGAGGATTCATATTGCTGACCCCAAACAAAAAGTATTCTCACTAACAGCCTTAAAATTGATAAAGGACAATTCCTCACCTTGATAAAAGACCAATTAGATTTTCGAGTGTATTATCATTTGCCGAAGCAGCAGTTGGATTCTACATAGAGCAATGCACTTCAAACTAATCAGCTTTCTATTATTTGTAATGTTTACTGTGATAACATGTTCGTTAATAGAGAAAAATCATGGTCTTTTGCAGGTCAAGTTTAGACTGATAGTGTTTCGACCATTTGTAGGAGAAGTAATAGCTGCTAAACTCAAAGAGTCCAATGCTGAGGGTTTACGCTGTAAGGCTTGCAGACTGTTTACAGTTTATTTCTCTCGCAATTTTCCTTTGTTGGAGTTTCTGTCATATATATATTTTCCTTCTCATTAAGTTTCTTCTGTGATATATAAGGCGCATATTAATGGATGAGGATATTCTCTCAGAAAAAAGGCATCTTAATGTTCGTTCAATTTTATGTTTGGCAGTGTCACTTGGATTTTTCAATGACATTTATGTACCCCCACCTCTAATGCCATCTCCATCACGTTCTGAGCCTGATCCCGAGAACAAGTAAGTGTTTTCTTGTCTCAACATCTAATTTTGTGGTGCAATTGCATCTACTGCTTGGTCTTTCTGAATCATACATCTTAAGTTTCTTTGCATATGGTTTTTTATTGTCTATTTTAGGAACCAAGTCAGATGGATATGGCAGTTTGAGGGACAAGATGAATATCCTATTGATGGCGTAGATGAGGTTTTTAGAACTAACAACTTTGCTATATTGCACCGGCTTGTCAAATGATGTACGTGGAATTTTGACATTGATTATATAAACTGCAGATTAGGTTCCAAGTTCATAGTGTTAGTTATCCATCCGTACCTCTTGAGCAAGAAAAGGATTCAAAGCCATTTGCACCAATGGTCATAAAGGTACGTCAACCCTTAACTTTATTCCTTCAGTATATTATTTTTTCTGTTCCTACAGTTAAAATGATATAGCCCCATCGCTATTAGCTGGTTAAGTGGTTGTAATGCTCGAGATGCATTGGATTTATTGTGCATCTAAACTATGTTGCTCGTACTCTCCAAAACTATCGCCGAGTGCGTGTCGGATCCTCCAAAGGTACTGCATTTTTGGAGGATCCGACATTGGGTGCGGCAGCATTTTGGAGAGTCCGTGCAACATAGCATCTAAATATGTAAAGGCTTTATCATTGAGTGTGGAGAAATGTTATTAGGTTGTTGAAGCTTATCAAGCTTCCTAAAATATATGCTACTTGCAACAAATATATCATCGTACCATGCTTTTAGCATGCTGTTCATTGTAGATGTGACTTATGTAAACTCCTGATCAGTAATTACACCTGCTCAACTAGTGTGGCGATTACCCTTAAAAATAGGACATTAACTCAGTGGTCGATTATAGAGTTTTTGTCACATCATTTACTTCATTTTTGCAGTTTGGTGACTTGAAGGCTGAACTTCTGATCAATTCGCATGAGTTTAAATTATGTTACTCGTTATAAAAGAAAATGCTCTTTGCATAAATTGAAACTTCAGCATTTACTCTTGGAATTTGGATGAAGCAACGTTGTTTATCAGTCGCACTAAGCAGCTATATCTTTAAACCATATAAAAAATGGAACGCGGATCTTCAATAAGCATTAGATTGAAAAATTCTCCTATGTTATTCTACTTTCTATGGACTTAGTGAGGAAAAATAGTTTAGTTTATGCTTATTTTTATTAATTCTGGCATTTTTTCTTGTCTGTATATACCAGGGATCTCTTGATGCTGATGGTCTAGGACCTATTTCATGGTGGATATAGCAGAAATTACTGAAGATTCTTTGACGATAAACTATATAATTTTTTTTTGTTAAATAGAGAGAAAAACAGAAGGGAGCCTTCGAGCAATGGTAAAGTTGTCTTTGTGTAACCTATAGGTCACGGGTTCGAGCCGTGGAATCAGCCATTGATGCTTCAGGGTAAACTGCCTACATCACACCCCCTTGGGGTGTGGCCTTTCCCCGGACCCTTGCATGAATGCCGGACGTGCTGCCCCTGAGAGAGAAAAGTAGTGACTCTAATTTTGAGACCCTGAGAAAGAAGCAAAATGAGCTTCTCTTTGTGTTAGTTCAAATCTCTTAGCAGTTCCTCAGTACACTCTTTTCAGAAAGGATGATTCTGCTACTTATGTCTTTCTATTTCTATTTGTGAAGTAATTAATCCATAAAATATATGTATGGTTTTTACATATAGATAAATTCAATTTAAAATATTGTCGGTCACACTGTTTTTCTACCCGCATAAGGTAAGGGTAAGATCTGCATACACACTATTCTCCTCTGGCCCTACTTGTGGGAATACACTAGGTATGTTATTGTTTCGATCACACTGTTTTCATACGTGTGGAAGTTTAAATTTTGTACTAAAAGTTTTACTACAAATTTTATTTCCTTGTAATATATCAAAAGCTGTCAACAGTTGAGAACTTTGGGAGAAGCTCCTTCACTAAATACTCAGTAATGTGGTAGTAAGTTGATTCAGTTGGATGAATACTGTCAAAGAAAATATATTGTGAAGTATCTGTACACATTGGAGATTTTGTTGTACACAATGGTCCTGCTTCTAATAACCCAGTTCCACAACAACCTTTTTTAATTTCTTCAAATCCTGTCATAGTTATGTAAAACAGAAAGCATTTAGATTAATAAGAAGAATGAAAAGAAAAAAGGGAGATAACTAATCTAAATGTTGGGTGATATTTATGATAAATGCTCGGAAGTTAAGAATTATAAGAACTAGGGGTCCTTTGGTTGGGAAATAAGTTATTTCAGAATTAATTATACCGGATTAATTATCATGGAATTACTATCCCACCCTCCCATAGAGATTAAAGTAACACTATAATCTGCGATATTATCTCAGCCAAATATAGGATAAACTCATTTCAAATTTAATCCCGAGATTAATTGTCCCTTATCCCTCGTACCAAACGAGCCCTAGGTGAATGGCATGAAGGCAATCACAGGGTCCGGCTTAACATAATTAAATTCCGGCGGAGACAAAAAAAAAATATTAGATTATTCTTTCCATCTGTCTAAGTCTTGGCTGGCGGAGTTATCCGATACCTGTGTTGACAGTGGAAGGTAGCAGGTACCCAATAAATTTAGTCAAAGTGCATGCAAGTTAGTCCTTGGTTGAACCAGAAAATGGGTACCGGCGTACCTACCATTACCATATAGGGGATGAACTGAGTTAGAAGCATATGCTTTCTTTAACGATAGCTGGTACCGAACAATCTGAAAGCTTTCTAAAAAGCTCAAGATAAATACTCCTTCATCCTTATCTACCAAAAACTATGGCAGAGTGGTACTTCTCCATCCTTAACCAAAGGTCTCGGATTCTAAACTGGTTATGAAGGTGTCTTTACTAAGGAAGGCTTTTCCCCCAAAAGTGAAAATTTCGAGCGAGAATTCGAATTAGTTGAATTCTAAAGCAAGTACCGAATATCGGATGAGAAACAAAAAAAATACATTGAAATCTTACCATATTCATGTGGATTATTGATGAGATCTGATATAGGAGTGTAAATGTCTGCATACAAGATTTTGCTTCCTGGATGTTGTGCTTGTAAATTTGGCAACAATTTCTGAAGCTTTTGATTATAAATTTGAGAATCTGAATTCTCTTTTTCTAAGCAAATTCTATGAAGTGGAGATTTTGCTGTCATTTGAATTGGTAGACAACCAATTGGAGGCAGCCCACTCGCTATAATTCCACGACATCCAAGTTCATAAAGTTCCTAGTAAAATAAGGTAGAATATTGCATGTCACATAACAATATATAAAAAGCATTTCTGAAAATTAAATTAATTATGAGGTAATTACAAGTAAATTTGACTATTTTCTGTGTCCTTTCAAATGAAACTATCGATTTCTATTAATGTGATGCATGTTTTATGACCTTTTTTGGGTGAGTGAATCGAATACCAGATGGTTAAACAAGAAAAACGTTGAAGTTAGCTCAAGCAAAATTTGGATTAGCAAAAAAACACAAAACCCCTTATTACCGACGATAAGAAGCAAATTGGTCAGATGATAATTACTTCACTTATTATTTTAGTATTAAGGCGCCTATCCTATAATGAAATGGGATAGAATAGAAAAAACGCGAGGGCTAACACTATAAGGTCGTTTTTCTCGGGGGATAGGTTTCTGAAGAAGCAAGCTTGTCCTCGCCCCGACCGACAATTGTTAGTTTTTCCTATCTCTTCTAACCTTTCCCCGATCTTGACCCAAGCTGTATAAGACAAAAAATCATCTGTTTTGCTCCTCGGAATAACGCGTATTTTTAGTAGTGTAAAAGGGCTGCCCGGTGCACGAAGCACCCCGTATTCATGTAGGGTCCCAAAAGGGCCGCACCCTTAAAGGTGTAAAGTAGACATCCTACCCTAATGTAAACATTATTGGCTGCTTTTACTGCTCGAACTCCTGGTCTATAGATCATACGGGACGGAGACAACCTTAGCGTTGCTCCAGGCTCCCCGTCTGGCAATGTAAAAGATCAATTCAAAAAAAGTGTACATTAAAGAGTAATAAGAAGAGAGGGATGTGATAGAAAATAACCTTGATAAAAAATTGCAGCTTGTTTAGCAGAAAATCTTGATACTCATTCATGCTAAATTCAACCCTTCTAGTTGGAATATCATAGAAATTAAAAATAAAATCATTACTCCCTGAACTAACAATAACCAAAGCACCTTTCACTATTTTTTCAGCTTCTTTTTCTCCAAAATACCCTTTCAATATTCTTTAAAATATTCTAACTGTTTACTCATTGAAATTACTCCAGAAATTGAACTTGTTAAATCATCATATCCTGATCCAGCTGATGCAAAACAAACTCCAGTTTTTAAATCATTAGCCATTAAATTTGGCTGTAAATATGGTGGCACACCATATTTTTTTAAATTTAATAAAAAAGCTAATATATCTGGTACGAGTTTTCCATTTGAAAATCTACCTGTTGGAATATGGTTATAATAGTCTTTTCCATAGGGTGGATGATTGCCTTTAAATAAAGTGAATATATAGTTGTTATTTCCAGTGTCAACTGTTGAATCACCAAAAACAAGAATTGATGTGAATTTTGGAATGGTTTGACTTGTAATTGTATTACACAAGAAAAGGGCTAAGAACAAGAAGAAGAAAGATTTTGGTGCCATGGCTTTAAAAGAATTGAACAAGAATTTGTAGTTTTAATATTCCCTCCAAGGGTTCATTGATTTTTGATGGTTTAAAGACATGTGGTTATGCACACAATTGTATTATACATATATAGACATATATTTACTACTGTATTTTTTATTTTTTATTTTTAAAAGCAACGTCGCTATGAATGCTTGGCTGTTATAGGCCAGTTATCCCTGTGGTAACTTTTCTGACACCTCTAGCTTCGAATTTCGAAGGTCTAAAAGATAGTTCAGCACCCACGCTTTCACGATTCGTATTCATATTGGAAATCAGAATCAAATGAGTTTTTATCCTTCTGTTCCACATGAGATTTCTGTTCTCGTTGAGCTCGTCTAAGATACATGTGTTATCTTTTAACAGATGTGCCGCCCCAGCCAAACTTCCCACCCGACAATGTCTTCCGCCTGGATTGGCCTGCAAGCAAGCCTTAGGTCCAAAAAGAGGGGCAGTGCCCCGCTTCCGATTCACGGAATAAGTTAAATAATATTAAAAGTCAAATACAGCCAAATCTTTCTATAATAGCCTCGTTTTTTTCAATATTTTGTGGTTGCTCTAGTAAAATTCTGTTATAAAGAACATATATTATAACATACTTATTATAAATGGTTCCAAAGAAACTTGGCTGTTGTAGTGAAGTATTGCTATAAAAGATAACTGTTGTAGAGAATTCTAACTGTATATATCTTTTATGCGGTGCAATAATAGAGAAAGAAAGATACATGGAAAGGAAATTGTTTTTTAAAAAGAAAGTAATAGTAGCAATTTTCTAAGGGAAGGAACAGAATTTTGTGATGATTGAATGAAAATGATAGTATATATTTTTTTCCTCTCTTTTAATTTTCTTATTCTTTATTTTAACTAACCAAACAAGAACACAAAAATTTCCTTGCTTACCTTCCTGCCCTTTGCTAGTTATAAATAAATTAAAACATATATATTTGAATGCTTATTTGATGGAGAAAAAATCTTGCTTTTCTAGATTATTACCTTCTAAGTTTTTCCTTTTTGATTACTTCTGAAATTAGCTCAGAATTAAGTTTCATGCATGTGGCAGTGTTTTACAGAATACAGTAATCTTAAAGGATTTTTTATTAAGACTTAGGGTGTGTTTGGTATGAAGGAAAATATTTTCCGGAAAATATTTTCTAATTTTCCCATGTTTGGTTGGCTTAAATTTTTTGGAAAATATTTTCCTTATGAACTCATTTTCCTCCAATTGGAGGAAAATGTTATCCTTATCAAGAGAAGGGAAAACATTTTCCAAAACTCCTTCTCAACCTTCCCCACACCACACCCACCCACCCAACCCCACCTCAGGCCTAGCGAACCCCCCCCCCCCCCCCCCGGAAAAAAAATATTTTTTTATATATTTTCAGTTTTAGTTTTTCCATCTTTCGGTTTATAGGCTCGAAATTTTACAAGTTTCAAAGTTATGAGTTCGAAGGTTTATGTGTTTGGAAGTTTACAGGTTTAGAAATTATAAAGTTTACGGGTTCGAAAGTTCGTGGTTTCGAAAGTTTATGAAATTTGTGGGTTCGGAAGGTTGTTGGTTCGAAAGTTTATGACTTCATGTTTATTGTATATAAATTATTTGTGAATACTCTTGAGAAGTTATTTTCCTTAATTTGCGTACCAAACACCGAAAAATGAATAAAATTACTACTTGTTTTTCACACCCTAGTTCACCAACCGTGAACATGTCATGACGGCACCTGGTCCCCATGACCAGGTAAGCCTAACATTTGCGGAAATATAACAATTGCGGAAAAATAGAGAAAATCAATTCAAATATCTAAAGGAAACTGTACTAATTGTCGCTTGGCAAGTACAACTCAATATCACAAGTCTAAAACAATTCCCAAAACCCGGAAACTCACGGGCAACACAGGCTACAGAAGTGTATAGTAAAGGTTCCAAACTCCAGAATTTCTAACAACCGAAAGAAGGAAAAACTAAGTACTAAAGATAGAATAAGAGGGAGACTCGTCGGTCTGCGGACGCAGCAGATCTACCTCGAAGTCTCCGTAGTCCTCCTGCCTCACTGATAGTGCGCCTGAGTAGAGGTACCTGGATGATCTGCACATGAAAAACATGCGCAGGAAGGGCATGAGTACACCACAGCGGTACTCAGTAAGTGCCAAGCCTAACCTCGGTTGGGTAGTGACGAGGAAGGTCAGGGCCATACTGAGACAAAATATAGTAATAACAATAATTAACAGTATGATAATCTGACAGAAATAATAAATACAGCAGTGATATAAGACAGATTAAGCAAGGCAATAGCAAATACACAAGAACGGAACAACCACAGAATAAGTACAGCTCAACACCAATGGTAACAATGAGGATCTCCCAGGATACCGTCCTGTAGTCCTTTTCTCAACTGTCCAGTGGATCTCCCGGGATACCGTCCCGTAGTCCATCATATGTGTATATCCGAAGGATCTCCCGGGATACCGTCCCGTAGTCCAACTATCAATGTGCAGGGGGATCTATCGGGAATCTAACCCGCAGTCCCAAAGTAAAAGTGCAGGGGGATCTACCGGGAATCGAACCCGTAGTCCCAAAGTAAACAAACAAGGGGGGGAGCTACCGGAATCCCACATCCGTAGTCCCAATGTAAATGCGCAATCACAACCAGAAGGTACACGGAAACGAAGTACAAAAGACAAGCAACAGGTAGTACTGGCCTAGCATGCTTCACGTAGTACAGTTAAGGCAACTTAAGCAATTAGGCAAGTTAAATCAACTAAACATGCTTTCCTAATCTAGCACAAGTTATAATTGCAAGTAGAATAAAGCAAATATGAAAGGAACTCAATCTTAATATCTTAAGAAAAAACCCGGATTTCTAACAATTGGCTCAAGTACACGCCCGTCACCTCGCGTACAAGGCACTCAAATCAACAAATAACAAATCCTAAGGGGAAAGGTCCCCCACACAAGGTTAGACAAGCCACTTACCTCGAACCGGCTCAATATCAATAGAAACCACGCCTTTGCCACGAGTATCCGACTCCAAATGGCCCAAATCTATTCAATTCAATTACATATCGTAAATAATATTGCAAACAACTGATTCCACTATAAAAATTAAAGCTAGGGCGCGAAAATAGGTAAAATGACCAAAATGCCCCTCCAGCCAACGTCTCGGAATCGAATAATTTTCACATTTTCAGAACCCTCGTACTCTCACGAGTCTAACCATATAAAAATCTCCCAAATCGGAGGTCAAATGCCCCCTCAAAACCCAATAGTTTGGTGTATGAAGTTTTACCCCAAATTAACCAACTTTTGATCCTAAATTCGAATTCCAATGATGTATTTAGCTATATAATGATGAAATATAATGAAAAGGGATCAAGGAAACGTTACCCAATGATTTTCTCTTCAAAACCCACTCAAAATCGCCTTCTCCCGAGCTCTCAATCGATTTTCAAACTTATGAAATTTAACCCTCGAAATTGATATTTCTGAACAGTCATTTCCGCTTCTGCGGACAAGGGACCGCTTCTGCGGTCCCGCTTCTGCGGACCACGAGCCGCTTCTGCGGTTTTCATTAAAAATCCAGGGTTCCGCTTCTGCGGTCTTAAACCGCACCTGCGGTTGCCGCTTCTGCGAAATACTCACCGCTTCTGCGGTTTCTCACAAAAGACCCAGGGCCGCATCTGCGATAGAAGCCTCGCAGGTGCGTAACCGCATCTGCGGTAGATCATCCGCACCTGCGGAAAAAGCTGAGGGAGCCCAAATTCACTCCTGCGATCAGGTAGTTGCTTCTGCGGCTCCGCTTCTGCGGTTCCCAAGCTGCAGAAGCGAAAATACCAGAAGACGAGAAAAACCAGCTGCTGCAACACTTCAAAAATTTTTCCGTTAACCACCCGAAATCATCCCGAGGCCCCCGGGACCTCAACCAAAAGCACCAATACCACCTAATACCTTATTCGAACTTGTACCAATCCTTAAAACACCTAAAACAACGCCGGAAACCCGAATTAATCAAAGATTCAAGTCTAAGAACCTCAAATTCCAACCAAACACGCTTTCGATCAAAAACCTAACCAAACCTCGTCCGAATGACCTGAAATTTTGCACACACATCCCAAATGACATGACGGAGCTACTGCAACTTCCGGAATTCCAATCCGACCCTCGGATCAAAAACTCACTATCGGACCGGAAACTTCAAAAATTCAAACTTCGGCATTTCAAGCCTAAATGAGCTACGAGCCTCCAAAATACATTCCGAACACGCTCCCAACCCCGAAATCACCTAACGGAGCTAACGGAACCATCGGATTTCCATTCCGAGGTCGTCTTCACACTGTTCCGATTACGGACCATTTTTCAACTCTTAAGCTCTCATTTAGGGACTAAGTGTCCCAAAACACTCCGAATCCCAACACCGAACGTCCCGGCAAACCAAAATAGCAGAAATGAACTTAGGGGAAGCAGTTAATGGGGGATCGGGGCGTAAATTCCAAAAACGACCGGCCGGGTCGTTACATCCTCCTACACTTAAACATTCGTTCGTCCTCGAACGAGCATAGAGAACATACCTGAAGTAGTGAAAAGATGAGGGTACTGGCTGCGCATATCCTGCTCGGTCTCCCAAGTCGCCTCCTCGGCCGGCTGACCCCGCCACTGAACCTTTACTGAAGCTATGTTCTTTGACCTC